GAAATGCTTCGGGGGGTATTTTGGTCTTTTTTTTGGGAATAAGTTTTTTATGTTAGGTGCGCCTTGATGAGAAGAACATACAGCTAAAATTTCAAGCGATTTGAATTTGTAGAAAAATAAATAAAATTCAAGTACTACATAACATCTATGATCGTCAGATCGGCTCAGATTCAATCTGGGCTGTTGGGCTCATATATTCATATGAACTAGTGGGTTAATCCCAGGTTTTCTATATATATATATATATATACATCACTATGTTATTTGTACTACATTATTAAGCGAGAGTTAATGGGTAGGCACGTGTCATAAAAATAAGAAGGGACTCTAATTCTATAGAGGTTGTAGGACACATTACTAACTCTAAAGGATATCTTTTTAGTCTCTTTAAATCTTTAGGAAGAGAGAGAGGTAAGTAGGTGTAATATGTTGAGAGAGAAATATCCAATTTTTTATAAATTCTAAGCTCTAATAAGGGATATATGTTAGACACGTATGGCGAAAATGAGGAGGGACCTTAATTCTATAGAGGTTGTAGGATACAAAACTCTAAGATATATCTTCTCAATCTCTTTTAATCTTTAAGAAGAGAGAGAGGTAAGTGGGTGTAATATGTTGAGAGGGAAATATCCAACTTTTTAGAAATTCCTAACTATAAGGGATATCTTATCAATCCCTCTAAATCATTAGGAAGAGAGAGGTACGTGGGTGTAATATGCTGAGAATGAAAAATCCTAATTTAGGAAAAAAAATATATAAAATAAGTTTGAAAATATCGATAGATGAGAAAAATATAAAGCATAAAAAATATAAAAGAGATTTTAAGATAGCTAAGAGAGAAGAAAATGATGAAGAAGTGGAGAAACACGTGAGAGAGATGAGAAATAGATAAACACGTGAGAGAAATGATTTAAAGATATTATATTTGTGAGATATCCTTCCTAGAAAAGATATAATGAGAAAGGAATATATTTAAGACAGGATATGGAGAGAGAAGGATATACCTGAGTATTCTTAACCATATGAAATAGATTGGGCGTTTCAAGGTAACCTCATATAATCAGCGATTTACTTTCACTTTTCTTTCTTTTTGAGCCATTCTCTATTTTGTTTTTTGTGTTTTTGTTTTTTTTGTTTATTATTAGAGGAATGATCTTATGAGACCTTCCCACACTCGTGTGTATAGAACCCCAAAGGATCACCATTAAATTTGACACATATATCTATAAAAGTTATCACATGGGTGTGGGACTTGACTTTTCTAGATATATGTGCCAAATTGAATGGTGATCCTTTGGGGTCCTACGTACATGGGTATGGGAGGGTCTCGTAGATGATTACTCTTATTATTATTATTATTATTATTATTATCATTAATAGAGTAATGATCCTATGAGACCCTCCCACACCCATGTGTGTAGGACCCCAAATGATCATCATTCAATTTGGCACATAACTCTAGAAAAGTTATCACATGAGTGTGAGACTTGACTTTTCCATAAATCTGTGCTAAATTTAATGGCGATCCTTGGAGGTCCTACACACATGGGTGTGGGAGGATCTCACAAAGTCATTTTCCTTATTATTATTATTATTACTATTATTATTATTATTATTATTACTATTATTATTATTATTATTGTGCCATTCTTCGTTTTCTCTTATTTTTTATCAGTATCTATGATTTTCTTCAAGTTTAGACTCTATTCGTGTGTGAATAATTGAATTTTTTGATTCAAGTTGAAGCATGAAGCCTTTATTATTTTATGAAAGCGTTCACTTCCATTGATGTTTCTCAGTTCCACCGGAAAGAGGCTTTCAAGAAATTATCAGTATGAGTTTATTTTTAAAAAACGTTTCTCCAAACTTTTGCAATATATGTTTCCTCTAATATTTCCTATAACAAGGTAAGTGTCTCATTAGAGGTTTTCTCTAATCATCTATGGTTGATCTTTGTATGTTTTGGTTGAGTTGTGCGAAGTATGGGTTCTATGTGTGAGTTCTAATGAAATACTTTTAGAATAAATTATCTATAAAGGTATTCGTAAGCCTAGGAAATATTTAATCGAGAAAATTCATAGAGTGTAAGCTATAGAAAATAAAATAATGGCATTAGATCAAGGCTCAAAAGTGATATGTTTGAGTTCAAATTTGGCCGAAATTTGGTTTTCTTTTAAGACTATAGAATTGAAAGAGCTGCTATTTGCTTTGCTCTGTAGAAATAGATTGGGCGTTTCAAGGTAACCTCATACAATCAGCAATTTGCTTTCACTTTTCTTTCTTTTTGAGCCATTCTCTATTTTGTTTTTTGTGTTTTTTGTTTTTTATTATTAGAGTAATGATCTTATGAGACCCTCCCACACTTATATGTATAGGACCTCAAAGGATCACTATTAAATTTAGCACATATATCTATAAAATTTATCACGTGGATGTGAGACTTGACTTTTCTAGAGATATGTGCCAAATTGAATGGTGATCTTTTGGGATCCTACACACATGGGTGTAGGAGGGTCTCGTGGAACATTATTCTTATTATTAGTATTATTATTAATAAAGTAATGATCCTATGAGACCCTCTCACACCCATGTGTGTAGGACCCCAAATGATCACTATTCAATTTGACACATATCTCTAGAAAAGTTATCACATGAGTGTGAGACTTGACTTTTCTATAAATCTGTGCCAAATTTAATGACGATCTTTTGAGGTCCTACACATATGGGTGTGGGAGTTATTATTATTGAGCCATTCTTCGTTTTCTCTTTTTTTTCATCAATATCTATGCTTTTCTTCAAGTTTAGACTCTATTTGTGTGTGAATAATTGAATTTTTTGATTCAAGCTGAAGCATGAAGCCTTTATTATTTTGTAAAAGCGTTCACTTCCATTGATGCTTCTCAGTTCAACCGGAAAGAGGCTTTCAAGAAATTATCAGTATGAGTTTATTTTAAAAACACATTTCTCCGAACTTTTACAGTAGATGTTTCCTCTAATATTTCCTATAACAAGGTAAGTGTCTCATTAGAGGTTTTCTCTAATCATCTATGGTTGATCTTTGCATGTTTTGGTTGAGTTGTGCAAAGTATGGGTTCTATGTGTGAGTTCTAATGAAGTACTTTTAGATTAAATTATCTGTGAGTTCTAATGAAGTACTTTTAGATTAAATTATCTATAAAGGTATTCGTAAGCCTAGGAAATATTTTAAGCGAGAAAATTCATAGAGTGTAAGCTATAGAAAATAAAATAATGGCATTAGATCAAGGCTCAAAAGTGATATGCTTGAGTTCAAATTTGGCCAAAATTTGGTTTTCTATGTAGAGAGTAAATGTTCATAACTATGTGCGTTCCTTTTTTTTTTCCATTTTTGTACCTAAAAAAGCACCCTTTTCATTTAAGGGTGTGGTTTGTATAGAGCCTAGGCTCTAAACAATCACATTAGAGCCTACCTTTAAATAGTGTAAAGAAATGTGGTTTCAATGCTAGAAATCTTTGTGATAGCCTTAAAATATATTTTCATCTTTATTTATAAAATTTAAAGCTTAAAAAATAGCATAGATCGACAGATTTATGAAAACTTGAAAATCTTGAAAATTGACAGTAAAAAAATACGTTACAAAATACACTATTTCCAAAACTTAAAATCCATTTTTTTTTTATGTCCATATATATTGATGTCGAGATGATCTATTTGAGGATATTGGGGAATGAAAACAACCTCTTCTAGTGAAAGTTTTTTGTTAGGCTCAAGTGTGATCGTTTAGAGCCTCGGCTCTATATAAACTTTTCCTTTCATTTAATAGTCAGTGCTCTTAATAGCATGTGCTTCTTATCGTCATGCTTTGAGTGCTATTAATAGCATGTGCTTCTTATCGTCATGCTTTATTTTTTGGTATTGTATATCTGATGTGTTCTTTTTTTAGGTCGTTGAGTAGTGGGATTGGAAATTTTTGGTTGTGCATTGTAGTTTAATTGCTCAACCCTTGAGCGTGCTTCCACAAAATTAGTGGTAAAACTACAAGATTGGTTTATGCACATCTTCAACCTGCAAGCTTCTTTGTTTCTGACTTTCATATTAGTAGTATGACAATAACCAATTGAGCTCATAGACCACAAATGTTTGATGTGTTCATATGCATCATATAATATATTCTTAAAACACAAATGTTTGATATGTTCATATGCATCATAGAATATATTCTTAAAACACAAGGATTAAAATTACGGGAGCCATCGCATCAATGAAACAATTTTGAGAGAAACTTCATAGGTTGTAATAGGCAAACCATTGAAGAGAAGTCAATAGGATGATAGGCATGTATGTCACAATGGATAGTTATCTTTTCATTGACTCAAGGGTCCAGTGATCTTAATACTTACTTTCAATAAAATATTATATTTTATATGCAACGTACGTAATCCTACTAGTATATGATCATCTATATTATTTTAAAATCGAGTCAAATTCAGATCGGATCCACCTGTACCCAGACTTGATCCGAATTACTATTGAAATCTAAAATTTGGATATGAATCTAAATTTTAAATTCATACCTAAATCTATATAGATCCAAAATTCAATTTCAAATCCAAACTGGATAAATTCTCACCTTTGAGCTTAAGCAAGGAGCGTGTTACTTATCGGAATAAGTACAGCACGAATTCCTCCGTAACTAAATTTGGAGTCCAAGTTTGAATAACAAAATACCAAAAAAGGAGAAAAAGAAACTGCAATATCATGAGTCCTCAAATTGCACCTGAGGTCATAAAATTTAATGCCAATGGATTTACTTACAACATAGAAGTTCGAGGACCTTGTGGAAGTTAGAAGGAGGGGTGTTCCCAGCCGTTGATCTTCCAGATCCAAGATCTAGGGCTTCCCAGCCGTCCGCTCTCCCTCCCTCTCGCTCCCCGAATTTATTTTGCTCCAATTTTCAAATTGACCCGCCCAAATATTTAACCCATTTGAAACTCAGTCTTCAAGTCCGCCCTATAAAACCCTAGAAACCCGCCTTCTCATGGTTTGGTACTCTTTACTTAGGGCGACTCGACTCAACAAATGAATGCTGCTCCGAATTTCCCCATTAATGGTGTTTTCGATGATTACTTGTGAGTTTTCACTCGGCTCTCTTTATCTTAACCCTTCTTTCTCTCTCCATGTGTTTTTGTTCTCTCTCTAGCTTGCTTTCTGTGCGTGTGAGGTGTATTGGTGCCTAGGGTTTTGGTCTGGATCGCTGATCGCTTGTTGGATGTTTTCTGGGGGGGTTTTGGTTTGGGGATTTTCCTCCTTCTTGTCTGAACATTTTTGGTGGGTTTTACGGTTCTGAGCTGTTTTTTTGTTTTTGTTTTTGTTTTTGCAGTTCAATGGGTTAGGAGACGAGTTCTCAGTGATATGGTGGAGCTCGGAGCTGTGAAATATGCGTGTGTTGTGCTCAGGGCGTCGTTTATTTATTGTTTTGAGCTAACCTCTTGGTTTCAAGGTTTTGATTATCTATTTCAAAAATTGTGATGTGGGCTTTGAAAATTTCAGTGAGGTGAATTGGGATCCTGTTGTCAACGGTTTGGCTATAAGTTTATGATCTTAGGGTTTTGTTAGGAGTCTTGGGTTTTAAAGGTGTTGACTTCGGGATGTTGTTCAGTCTTAAGATTATCAGAGTGCCTCATTTGGCATTTGGTTGTGTGAATGATCTTTCCTGACTGCGTTTAGGGCATTTTAGGGTAGTTACTTAAGGCTTTAGAAGTGTTGCACTTCATATTTGTGTGGTTTTGTTATGCTGGTTTAAAGAATTTGTGTTTGGGGCAATTGTGGGGTTTCATAGTGATTTTGAGGAACTTATTTGCTCTCTCCGTTGAGTCATTTTAAGCATTTTTGTTTAAATTTTGGGGTTGGGAATGGATCCCGATGCTGAAGAAACTAAATCCAATGGGGCTGACCCATTGGATGAAAAAGGAAAAGGAGCAGCGGCTGAAACCACAGAGGCAAATGAAGATGAAGAGAAAAAGAAAGAAATTGACTCTAAAGAACAAGAAGGTGATGCAAACAATGGAGTAAGCAAGGAGGAGACCAAGGAGACTGAGACTAAGGTAGAGAGCAAGGAGACGGAGACTAATGAAGAGAGTAAGGAGGCAGAGAGTATGGAGAAAGTGGTCAAGGAGATAGAGAGTGAGGAGAAAGAAAGTAAGGAGACAGAGGGTAAGGAGACAGAGAATAAGGAGAAAGAGGGCCATGAGACACTGGTTATAGAGAAAGAGGGTAAGGAGACAGAGGGTAAGCAGAAAGTGAGTAGGGAAAAGAAAAACAAGGCGAATAAGGGCAAGGATACAGTGAGCAAAGAGAAGAAGAACAAAGAGAAAGAGAGCAAGGAGGGAAAGAATAAAGAGGAGGAGGGCCAGGCAGAAGAGATGAAAGAAGATGAGACATGCGAGAAAGAAGATAAAGATGAGGCGGTTGGTAAGGAGGAGGAACCAAAGGGAACTCCAACAACTAAGAAAAGGGGTAGAAGATCCAGCAAAGCTTCACAGGAAGAGAGCACACAGGAAATCTCAGCAAAGAAGAAGAGGACTAGTGATGTGGCTACACCTGCTACTCGTAGCATTGAGCGTCCCTCAAGGGAAAGGAAATCCATTGAGAGGTTTATTGTGTATAATGAGAAGGAGCCTTCCAAAGAGTTCTCCATTGAAAAGGTAAGCTTTTGGTACACAGGTACTTCTGCAGAATTTTCTTAGCTGCCCTCTATCTCATCTTTCTTGTTGGGCTAGTTTTGTTTTAATGTGGCAAATGTATGACTTTCTTTCTGTTGTGAATTGCAGGGTCATGGCACGCTGCTGAAAGACATACCCAATGGTGATATTCTTTCTGCATTCATTTTTTTTTGGGTTAAATTACTCCATATTGTATTCATTTTTTGATGCAATTTGTCCCTTGCGATATGTATTGTTTCTTAATATTTATCTTTATCCATGAATTAGAAGGAAAGGCAAAGCTGTTTGGGATTCATTTATCATGAATAAGTTATGGGTATATCTCACTTCTTTTTTCATTTTCTACCTAAGCTCCCTTCTTGCAGACTTGCACCTTCATCTCTATTTCTTTTGCAGGCTTGATTGTTATTTTTTTTAATAGTTCTGTCTCTCTGAAGAATTGAATTCCTGTCCACTTAACACATGCAAAGATACACTAGACCCTCTAGTGCCTCTCAAACTTGCTCAATCTGCTTTGCCATGTTTAATTTATATTTTCTTATGCATACATGTAATCTTGTATATCTTTTGCTGCTTGTTCTTCTATCTTTGCACTTCCTCACATGAAACGCATAGTCTTTAAGAAGAATCTTATCATTTTGGGACACACTTAACCTCATTATTGACTAGTTGAAAGAATACATTTACATCAGTAGGGTAAAATATTGTAAAAATAATTTTTCAATGGGTTCACATGTGGTATTGCCATTTGGATTCTGTTTAAAAAGGCTAGAAAACTTTAAATCGGAGGTTCAACGACTGAAAATGTCCTAATTTTTTTCCCAATGTTGCGGTCATGGATCTCTTTTGTTTTTTGAACATTGTTTGAAGTATTTTGGTCTTGGTAACCTACATGTTGAGGCTTGTTTTATGCTTGGAAATGATGGATATTTTTGTAATTTGATAAAGATGGATGTGTTCTTTTGAAAATGAACTGGCAATTTTACGGAGATGAAAGAGGTGGGTATGCTAATTGGTGAAAAGGATGTAATCTAATTGATTTTTTGTGGCTTATTTGCAATACACACATACACATGTGTATGCATATGTGTATGGACATTAGAACATTGGCATGCATGTGGATGTGTGTATGTGCATTTCTGAATATCTCCACTCAAGTTCCTCATCCAGAAAATGATTTGCATGGCTTATTTTTTTATTTGTTATTTTTTTAGTTTTTTACTTTTAAGAAAAACACATAAATTGTTTTAAACTATTTTTTGGACCAAATCATGTTACTCAATTAACCAATTTTCTGGCCAATTGAATTATTCCTTGAAGCATTTTGTGGCTGGGAACAATTTGCAATGTTGGATTCATGACACATGATTAGCTAGATTCATGACACATTACTATAGGTCAAATTTTTGGGTCTCATTGATCTGCATCTTGATGTAGAGCTAACTTTCTTTGTACTTTGTGTGTAACTGTAGTTGCTTACAAGTTATCAAAGAGGAAATCTGATGATGTTTTAAAGATGCTTCATGTGATTCTTTATGGGCGGAGGGGGAAGGTAACATGACACTTCTTTGAATGCTTTGTGCAATTTACTTGTTCATTTTAATCATGTTTTGAATTTTTTTACTGCATGTTATTCCTTGACATGATTAGTAAAATACTTTGTTGCGTGGTTAGGAATGTCGATATTTGACATAGGTACTAGGGTGCACATTACTCATGCCATGAAACATAGGATTTTGTTACATGACTAAATTTTGAAGAGCTAACCATATGTGACTAGTGTTTACTGATACTTTATTTCATGATGAGCAATGTTTTAGAAAACGCTAGGCGGCGCCTAGGTGGCCCTCGGGGGGGGGGGGGTGGTGGGGCGTGGGGTGGGGTGGGGGGTGGGGTCCAGGCTGCTCAGCGCCTAGACGGGCGGCCAAAACCTGGGCGGCCCATGAGTTTTTTTACATGGGGCAACATCCCCCTTGATATCGGCAAGATGTTTCTTGAACTGGTTTGTGCCCCCATTTTGTATCCTTTTCGCAAAACTTGCATCTTATGCAATTTTATCCAGAGGATTGGGGTTGTAGCCATATGTCCAACCCAGATCACGACTTTGATTAGATCTCAAAGAAGACATATCAAAATAATACAAGCAATAAAAAACAAATCACTAACTTTGATCGCTCGATCTCCAAACCTCCACCTCTCAAATATTTTTATGGACTCAAAATTTTTTAAAAACCTCTCTAATCGATTTATAAAACATCCAAAACTAAATCTAATGTCACTGAGTGATGCTTAAATTAATTTTTTGTAACTTTGAGAAACTTTTTGATCCTATGGAAATCACAAAAATTAGTTTTTTTTTTTGGTCTTTCTTTATCTAAATTAGGCTCTAACGGGGTTTAGGTTTCAAATGAACCTAAAACTCATGACTTTGTCCCTTTTATGTTAAAAAAAACCATAAAATGCCTTCAACGAGGGGCATTTCCGCCCTTGAGCAGGGTGTAGGCTTTGGGTGGCCGCCCAGGGCTTTGCGCTTGCCTAGGCGGGTTCCTTGGCACCTAGGTGGTTTCCTTGGCGCTTAAGCGGGGGCCTAGGCAGGTGCTTAGGACAACCCGCCTAATTTGGCCGCCTAGGCCTGGGCAATGCCCCCAGGTCTTCTGGGCCGCCTAGTTGTTAGGCGAATCACTTTTTAAAACAATGATGATGAGTGGCAAGAGAAAATCAATTGTCTTAGTTGGTTGAATACGTAGATATTTTCAAGGTTTATATCGGTCTATTTGAAACAAAGAAGGAGATGAAGTTTCTAAAATGATATAGTATTATCAAAGTTCCATAGATGTGTTTATAGTTCATATGGTTCTACTCGACACAAAATGGTCTCTAAAATGATTTAATCAATAGTTACTAGGCGAGAAGAGTCCATGAATATTCGCCTGCACGTGTCAATATTTAAGCGGCATGGTTGCAATGCACAAACAGAATAATCCCCGTGACAATGGTAGAATAGAACTGGGTTATGGAATCAGTTAGGTTTCGACTCTAGTCATGCGTCTTGTTCACTGGTTTGTTCATATTTTGGGCTTAATAGTTAAGCATCTTTAATGCAGTAGTCTTGTTTTAAAGTTGCATTCCCTTCCCTTGCAAATGTACAATTATCAAAATTTCTCATTACTTCAACTATTGATGGTTTCTTTGAGAAGAACTGATATTGATTACTTCAAAACATGTCCTGTCATGCAATCGCATTGTGCAAACTTAAAATTGAAGCTTAAATTTTAAGCTTGCACAATGCTATGGCATGAATGCATAATTTTTTTCTCATTTGATTCTGTTGGTGGTAATCATGACTGTTTTCGACCTGTTTTTGATCATTTGTTTTCCATTTTTTCTCAATTTTAAGAGCTGCCTGGATTTTGTGATCCTGGACAGGTTCTGGAAGAACTCTATTAGCTAAGCTTGTTTGTGGTTGGGAGTGTGATAGGGTTCTCCGGGGATGTGGACCATCTAGGGGCATGTTTTGATGGACATTGGGCACAACTAGTTGTGATAGCTTTGTAGGTTTTTCTAATTGATTTGAAACTGGATATACATTGCTGCATTTCTCTTCTCCAATCTATGTCTACGTAATATCTTTTGGTTTTAGCTTTGTAGGTTTTTCTAATTGATTTGAAACTGGATATACATTGCTGCATTTCTCTTCTCCAATCTATGTCTACGTAATATCTTTTGGTTTTTAGTTGGCTTGTTGCCAATTTGAAGTTTTATATCAATTGCTTGAGTGATTGATGGAAGTGGGAGGGAAGGAGAGGGGAGTTTCAAATTAGAGTCTCCAACTGGTCTGGGATACCACATGGATATCATAAGTTTTGTTGCATCAATAGTTTACCTCCACATTGGAGGACTTGTGTTAGGATTCTGTATAGAGCCCATCAAAACTGCAAGTGCAATTTAATAAAGGCCTTTATAATTTCATCTTCTTGCTGAAATATCCCCTTAATATGCATAGATTTTGATTTTTGCGTAAATGATAATTCTTACTTATAATTTGTATAATTACCCAAAGTTCAGAATGACCTCTATATCAGTTATAATGGCCCCTATATAGGAAATGCCCCTAGCTTTGATGTTATATAAAAGTAAGAATGCTGGGGTTGAAAAATTATCTGCAGATAAAATAATGGGCTATTTCCTTTATATGGCTGTTATATAATCCCATAATAGTCTGTATAACAAGTTTGATTTAAATAAATAAAAATAATAAAAAAGCAGTTATGTGTATAATAATAGTGATAACTGCTGTTCTTTTCTCTTAGAATCGCCATTCTAGCAAAAAACCTAATATATTTCAGCATTTTGTTCGTGACCCCTTTTAAAAGAAAAACATTTTGAGTGTTACGTTGTATGTTCATTCCCTCTTTTTTTGGTTGAATCCCTGCTTTTTCCACTAGATACCCTTTTTTGTATTTTTTTTTTGTTTTGTTTTGTTTTTTTTTTTTTTTTCATTTTCTACCCGTTTTCCTAAACTTGGCATGCCTTCTTGGGCTCCCTGTTCTTGTGGGGTTGCCCAGGTGGCACCTTGGCTGGTTCCTAGTGCTTAAGCCTATGTGCCTACACAGTTTGTCCCTTACTTGAAGGTGGGGCATTTCCCTTGCTTGAAGGTGGTAAATGCCCTTCGGGCAAGGGATATTGAGTCATTTTGCCCTTCTTAATGGGGACAAAGAAATTGGGAGGCTTTTTTTTTTTAATATCTTTGTGGGGGTGGGGTGTGGGCATCTGCACAAAAAGGAAAAAAGAAGAGCTTGTTTGGTGGCTTGTCTTCCCAAAAAGAATTACAAAAATAGAGGATTTTTTAAATATTTCTGAAATTGAAACATTGAGAATTAATGATTGGGCATAAGTGATATATGTATATGTGTATTTAAATGATACATGTATGTGCTTTTGGAGTGTAGGTATATCTATATATGTATGTTTGGGAGATTCGGCATCTTGAAGCCCGGCTGCCCGCCTAATGCCTTACGACCCTTCACTGCCTTGGTGCCACCTGGTGTTTCTGCAATCTTGATTTTGAATACCCATGTCAAGTAGGGGTTGCTATTGATAGTAAGCATCATTTGTTAGTTGCATATCAAATTGGAAAAGTAAGATGCTAATAATTTTAATCGTATAGAAGGCAATATTTTGAAATAATGGATATAGTTGGTTTATTGTACCGAGATGTAATTGGTGGGATGTTATTCTTCATTATATTTTAAAAAAGATGATACCTTTAATGGCATTTCAAGAAACAATGAGATATATTTAGGATAGAAAAGTGTTCCCTTCATAGAGTTTGAACACCCAATTTATTGGACTTTATATGGGTAATGATTCTGTCAGCCTGTACAAAATAAACTCATCAATCTGAGCTGACTTGGTGGCTAGCGTGGCAACTCGATATTTGATCTTTGTTTTTATTTTGGTTTTTTAATAAATCCGATGGGCCTCATTTTTTTGGGGTACATGAAAGTAAAATAAATATGCCAAAAAAATGGACCGAAACTGTCACTTGGTCACCCATGCAGTGTTCATCTATAAGTATGTGGTTATGCTGGTCGTTTTTTTACATATTATTTTTTATTTTATTTTGGTACAGTTGTGGTGTAATTTTAAACAGTTTGGTTATTTCACTGTAGCCTCCTTTTTAGACTTGCATTCCATAACCATCACTACATTGTGATGGGCTTTGACTATATCCATTATGGTGATGAGTTTTTGAAATTTGATTCATCTTCATATTTGTATTTTGTTTTGTAAAATGTTCTTCTAATAATAATATTTATATACTAATAAATACTGATGTATAATAATTTATTCTTGAAATTATGCATTTTAATTTTTTTTGGGCTTATATTAGAAAATTTTGTATATTACTTTAGAGAAGATTTATTTCATTGGAGTAGATTGTTTAGTATTTAGTTTTTTAGAAAATTTAAATACATTCAATATTCCCTTACCATGATTTTTTTTTAAACAAATGATTCTAATAGCTATATGGATATGATAAAATGTTTGATATCTTATAAAATAAAGACTAATTGATGAGGGATATTTTTTGTAAAAAAAAAAAGCGAAAATTGGAAGGGTACTTCGGCAATAGTGTCCTTGCTCCTTTGATAACTGTTGAGGCTTCTATTGTGGTAGGATTGTGAGGGGTTTCTGCTGAAGCAAAGTAACGTATGGTTTTATTTGTTGTATTTCTAGCACATCGATGGGCTGCTTTTAATGTTTTGCACATACCCACATATCTGTGTTCTTGTTCCATTTGTATTTGTGTTCTGATGATCTTCTTGTTCTCTAATGATTTCTTGCCGGCACATTTACATTTCCTTCTGCAGAGTCATCAAGTGAAAAGTAATATCTCTCAGTTCTCTGGTTTTGTGTGGGCCGAAAATGAGGTATGTTATTCTAAACAGATACATAATGGGTGTGGTTCAATCTCCTCTGAACTCTTGGAAACATAACAATGAGTGCAATTTGAATTGCTTTTATGCAGTTTGCAAAGGTTTTGCTTTTATTTTTTTGTGTGGAGCTTCGTGATTTTTGTACTCTTTGGGTGGATACATTATAAAATGCATTTGATAAAGGAAAAAGTTTATATAAAGGTGAGGCTCTAAACAATCAAATTAAGGCTCACTTCAAAAAATTCACTAGAAAAGGTTGTTCAGATGCTAAAAAACCCTTAATTTGATCATCTTGATCTCAAGATGTATGTACATCAGAAAATATGGATTTTAAATCTTGGAAGTAGTGCATTTTGTAATATATCATGTAGGCCATCAATTTTCAAGATTTTCAAGTGTTCATAGATTTGCTTGGTCTACACTATTTTTTAATCTTTAAATTTTGACCATTAGAGATAAAAATGAATTTTCAGGCCATCAAAAAGATTTCTGATACTGAAATAAAATATTTTGACACTATTTAAGGTTGCGCCTTAAATGGTACTATGTCATTCCATTCATGTATCACACTGTTGTGTCTTCATTTTTTGGTCTCCTTAGGTGAACTTGGTTTATGTGTTTCAAGTTATTGTTCTCATGTAAATGAAAACTTTATTCGGTCTGTAATCAAGGCATGTTTTCTTTCTTTATGATTCTGGAAATATATGGGCTTAAATATATATCTACTACTTAACATCTCCCTCTCACATTTAGTAAAAACAAAAAAAGAAAAGGGAAAAATACACATCCACCAGTTAAATTAGGTTTGGACTTTCTGTCTGCTCTATGAAGATTGTTGTTATGTTGCTGTATGCCATCCATGGCTTGCATACCCAGCGAGACATTTGGGAAATTGTCAATTCAATCCTTACCCAGAGCGAAAGTTGGTCCAGGTGTGGAGCAGTTGACATTCAATTTTTTGATTTCCTTCGGACATAAAGCGCCGGTGAGAGATTTTTGCTTCATGAACCAGTCATGTTGAATGGGTTGGTTCCGGATCAACCCAAGCTTGATTGTAGGCTTGTGGACTTGGGTCGAGTTTTCGGGTCTGATTTTTAATGCCATTGTTTTGAGGTTTACAGGATGCTTAAACAGTCCCACTTATCAGTTTAGGTGGTCCCTGAACAATTTTTATTATATTATCGTTTTTTTTTTGGCATTACTTCATACTGGTATGTGTGTTCTCAACTTGCTGATGCTGTTGGTTCCTCTGCAGTTATTTGTGACTGAGTTATTGAATTACTTATCTTGTCACTTGCAAATCAGATTTAGATTGGGCCTCATCTTCCTTTCCTTGGTTGTTACTCCATCCTTGATCTGTATTGCTTGTGCTTTAGCAAGGTCTGTTGAAAACCTTCCCTCTTCATTGTTCACTTATTGCTGCTTCTGGTGTCATGATGTTTGTTGCAGCATAATCTTCCCACCAATTTGCAGTCAAATTTTGATTGCACTGCAAAATTATAGAGTATTATTTATTTGATTCTTGACATTCTTGAATGTTTTCGTATTTGATGGTCTCAGCCAAGTAAACTAGATTTATGTGACTGCTCTGAGCAGGAAGCTGTTACTCCTGCATCAATGTATTTGATGGTCTCAGCCAAGTAAACTAGATTTATGTGACTTCTCTGAGCAGGAAGCTGTTACTCCTGCATCAATAAATAAAAAACCCTTAGCCCTAGCTCCCTGAAATGGCGCAAGTCCAATGTTCTTGGAATAACCACCTCTCTGATCCTCTTATAGAAAGTAATGGGATAAGTTATGCCATGCAAGATTATGCGCTTGTTAATTCCTCATTTCTTCTCTCTTTCCCTTTCAATTTCTGCCTTTTCGTATGCGTTTCTCCTCTTCTCTCTTGATGTATGTGTGCTCATTTGTATGCACTTATCCAAGGGCAACTTGATGTGTTGATTTCTAGAGACACAACATTAATTATCAAGAGGAAACACATTGAAAAGATGCACCCACTTTGCTTCTTTTGTTGTCCCCTTGGAATTGTTGGAATGTATAACCTCCATAGTCAACGGCCCATTCTGCAGTAATTGGGTGTGCCTTCCTTCTTGGTCGAGGGTCTCAATTCTGCGTTCCCAAAGTTGATCCTCTTTGTGAGCTTGTTTCTGACTATATGGGATATCGATCACATTTAGCAAGGGATCTCAATTATTTAACGTGGGATCATGATACATAGGCCTTACTTAACTAATTGGGATAAGCGCATGATCTTTGTCATCATCATCGCTATCGTCCGAGCTTTAACCCAACTATTTTGTGTCAGCTACATGAATCTTGTTTCTCCACTTGGCTTTATCATGGGCCATTCCTTAGTCACAGAGAATGCCCTAGCATGAGCATATTTCGTTGGATCAGGGTTTATGATAAGGATGTGGTGAAAGTTTTCCATTGGTTGCCAACCTAGCACAACCCTCCTTTCTCATCCTTGGGACCGATAATGGCGAAGATAATGTAAGGTACTTATTAATGTGTAAGTTACTTTTAAAAAATGGAATACATTTAACAATTCTGAATTCTTTGGAAACAACTCACTTTCCAATAAATAGTTTTATGATTAAATGATAACTAAAGGGCAGTTATGTGGGTTAATCTATATGTAAGTTAAAAGGTTGACAACAAAAGTGGCTTAAGAACTAAATAAGGCTTAGCAATCGGTAAAGTGGGTCATAATGGATATGTACTCTACCATATAAAATGATAACTTACCAAAAGCAACGAAAATAACTTGAGAGTTTAGATTGCAATAAATTTAAGATTAAAATTGGACAATCAATCTCCTTAAGAATTCTGCAAACTATTGAAGTATTATAATTGAAATTGATTGAGAAGTTTAGTGTGAAGGAAAAAGATCTTCATATGGTCTAAAGAAAGCATATTGTACAGTACCTCAAGGTTTAATTTGGTGGGTGTTGGAAAAGAAAGAAATCTCTAGGTAATATAGCGATTTGGTGAGCGATAGGGAGAGCTAACTAGTGAGTGAACAACTAATGGAGAGATGAGTGAGTTTAAATTGACAATAGGTCTACATCAGGGATCAGCGTTTGAGCCCATACCTCTTTGTTTTAGTCATGGACGACTTAACTAAGCACCTTAAGATGAGGTACCGTGGTGTATGTTGTTTGCAGATGACATAGATTTGATTGATGAGACCCAAAGCAGCGTCATCTCAAAGTTAGAACTTAGGAGGGATGCTCTAGAATCTAATGGTTTTAAAATTAGCCAAAATATGACAAAATATATGAAATGCAAGTTTAGTGATAATAGGAGTAGAGATGAGGAAGTAGTTAAGATTGAAGGCCAAGAAATACCAAAAAGAGTATACTTTCGATATCTTGGGTTGGTAATTAAGGAAAATAGAGAGACAAAAGAAGATATTGCACATAGAATTAGAGTTGGGTGGGCAAAGTGGAAGTGTGCAACTGGTATTTTATGTGACTTCCACATACCAATGAAGTCGAAGGGAAGTTCTATACGACAGTTGTGAGGCCAACTTTGCTTTATGGGGAGGAATGTTGTGCGGTCAACAAACAACATACCCATGAGATGAGTGTAGTTGTGATGATGATTAAGATGGATGAGTGGCAAGACAGAAAGGGATAGAATTCGAAATGCATTTGGGAGAACTTAGTGTGGCTGCAATAGGCGATAAAATGAGAGAAAGTAGACTTAGGTGGGCTGGCCAGTTGTAATGCAGACCCATTACAACAATTGTTACGAAGTATGAGTTGGTTTAAGTGGAAGGCTCAAAATTGGTAAGGGGTAGCCACAAAAGGACATGTTTGGAAGTAGCGATAAAAAACATGGGGATTTATAGCCTCATTGAGGGTATGGCTCTTGATAGAATAGAATTGCGAACCAAGATTCATGTAGCCAACTCCAAATAGTTGGGGAAAGGTTTTGATGATTATGATGATGATTGAATTATCATGATTAAGTGTAATTATGATTCCTATTTCTTGTTATTCTTAATTTTTTGATGTAATATTCTTAAATGGAAATTATTTTATGAAATGAATAATTTAATTGGTATATTAAAATCCTTCTAAGGTTTAACATGGCTCTGAAGTATGAAGTCTTTGTATGGATTTTGTGACTTGCATTAACATGTAGTTTAATATGTTTTATTGTTTACATGATTTTAAATCAAATTTTGAATTTTTTTTGTGAATTTCTTATATGCTCTTTGGGCCCACTCCCAATATGTTTTTTGGGCCCACTCCCATGTTGCTCCCAGATTATGGAGCTTCTAGCTAGTGATGATCACCTGCATGTGCTCTCTTTCTCTCTACCTCTCCCAGCAGCTCCCAACCAACATCTTATGTGGCCTTCTATAAAGAAAGGTTTAGCAAGGAAACTTCAAAAGACCACATTGTATAGCCCAAACATGTCAAGCGTGGTAACAATGTAACGTGATATGATCCATTGTTTCCTCAATATCCCTGGGCAGCAAATGCTAGGGAATTCATGCCCATGGTGATGTTAGTGATGCTCGCAAGTGATTAATGTGTCATCTATGCATGCATTTAAGTGGATGTTCATGGCTATTTATTTACTTGTATGCTAATATGCATGTTATGAATTGTGTATGTTTGGATTGTATTTATATATATATGATAAGTCTGAGAGATGTTTGTAAAGATTTGGGGCTTGTTGAATGTGAATTTGCTTGGGCACTCTTTAACCTTCAGATGGAAGAATCTGCTACGGTTTAGAATTGGAGTTTGAATCTCTCTTAAAATCCATAGTAGGGCTGGCAGAGGGTTTGGTGGCCTGGCCTTGTGGTCTGAGGTTTTGGGCTAGGGCTAGTGCCGTCCCGGTTTGGCCCGCCCTTGCCCTCCTTTGTTTTTCACATTGTTTTTCTTTTAATTTTTCTGCATTTGTTTTTGGCCTGGCCTGTTCTGGCTCTAACAGGGTCAGGGCTTGGGCCTATGGCGTCAAGGGTGGCTCAGGGCCAAGGCTGGCCCGATCCAGGCCCAACCCGTTGCCACCATTAGTCTGGAGTAAGTCACCTTGTTTGATCTCATTTTGGCTGGCCTGATTGATACTGAAGCTTGTATGCCAAGTAGAAGTCATTTTCTTGATTTACTAGGCCCTTTTGTGGGGTATTTATGGTGGGAGTTGCTGTAATATTTAGCCTTGTAATAGTGAGTTATTTCTGTGATGAGTGATTGGAATATACTCAAGTTCAGTCACTATTTAAAGGAGAATTGCAATCACTTCAAGTACTAGTTTTTAATTCTCTTTTAGCCAAAAATTCTTGTATCAGAGATCGTGATGGTGAACAGATTCCATATCTTTCTAAATTTGTGAAATAATTATACGAAGTGATACTATGAGGGCCTGTCCTCCACAAAACGCTCCTCGTGTCGTTGACAAATGAGAACGGCCTGTCTGGTCTTCTACGTCCTTCGAGTTTACGTGAACAGTCCCCCTGTTGTTGATAGGGAGCTTACCGCCCCATCCTTTCTTAATTTTAATCAAGTTTCTTTATTTTATAGTAGCGAGAGAGTGTACGGTATGTTTATAGTCGTGACTGTTGTCATGGAAAAAGAGTTTGTTTTTTGTCAAAGAAGGATGCTCAACACAGGCTCTAATTCGAGCCGCGTATATAGTCTAAATATGGGCGGGCCCGTACTCTCTTCTGTAGATATGCTTAAGACCTCTCCCCACTGTCAGTGGCAGGCCCCATATGGGCCATGAATGATTTCTTCAAAAGCCTGCAACTGTCTATCAAGCAGAGTTATGGATCATCTTCACCTTCCATGATAGGTCACAGACAGGAGAATTGAGTCCTTTATTGTCATGTAGGACTGCCTGATTGGATAATTCCCCTACATTCCTGTTTTTGCTTATATACATAGAAAAAGTAAAATTTGCTTCTTGTAGGACCTTAATGGCAGCCTACTGCAACTGATTACGTGGTTACATTATTCTGAGATTTTCCTTTTGCTTTCATGAATGTCCACATCAACATGTGAAATGGCATGTTGCTGGTGAATTTAATAAAGTTTTGGGAATGAATAAGATGTTAACATGGGTAGGGGCAAAATTGGTGAGAGTAGCTGAATGTGACTTTCTGCAACATGGCAGCGCCTCCCTTACAATCTTCTTCCATTTTTATATATTCTCGGATGTGTGAGGCTCTATAGCTCTAATCTCCTGCATTTCATCTTTGGCCACATTGCTATTCATCAAACTTCGTCAGTGCATCTTTGATCATGATTCCCTGATACGAGATATTTGGTTACTTAATTTTCTTCATTGACAATCTTAGTAAATTGGGTTTCTTGTTTGCCATTTTATGCTTGCAGGAGAAGCAAAGATCCAAGGTAAAGGAAAAGCTCGACAAGTGCGTGAAAGAGAAATTGCTTCAGTTTTGTGATTTGTTTGACCTACGGGTTGCAAAGGTTACCTCAAGAAAGGTAGATTTGTTATTCTTGATGGTTTTGTAGGAAGTGATGTTTTGTAACTATTTCGCTGCTTAGTGTCTGCACACCTGCAAGAAACTGCCAATTGCATGCATTTGGGTGTTATTCTAGTGTATTGATTCATTTGAGTTGTATTTGTAGGAGGAGTTAGTTGCAAAGATTTTGGAATTTTTGCAATCTCCACATGCTACTACAGATGTTATTCTTGCTGAAAAAGAGCAGGTTTGTGTGTGTTCGTGTGCTGTGACAATTAATTCCTTCAAGTAGTTATAAAAAATTAATGTACCTTCTGTTCTCTAAGACTTCATTTGTTTTACACGTAATGATTTTGAATCCTTGCAGAGAAGCAAAAAGCGGAAGAGGCAGGTCAAAGGAAGTGTAGCGGGAAAGTCTCGAGGCACGCCATCAAGAAGTTCAGCAAAGGTTTTTCTACAGCTTATTGTTGCACATGAATTACAACTTTTACATTACTTTGTGGGATTTTGCTTGCTTGTAAATTATTTGAAGTTTGTATTGGATAATGCAACTCCAGAATTTTTGTTTATATCGATACATTACTTTTATTTCTTTTGGACTTTCTTTTTTGTCAAAATAATGGAAGATATATCTTTGTCCCATTGTGACTGTTTTGTACAAATACTACCTTCGTTGCATAGGGAGGGAGGATTTGCGGCTGATGCCTTATTATGCATAGTTTTGACTACTACCTTACAAGACCATAAGTATTTTAAGTTTTGAGCACTAAGGAATGAAATTTATTGCTTGAGGCAGAAAGGGGATTTGGTAATTAATTGTTAACTCATTAAAAATGGGGGGGATTTGGTAATTAAGACATTTTTTATAATTGAGTTACCCTTAGCCTTTTGCAACTGGCCTAGTTTGTCTGATTGTACCTTGGAATGCAAATAAAGTATGTGAAGAAGGTATAATATGCTTGATTCTTGTGTTATATACTATTGGCTACCATATATTAGAAGTAATATTTTTTCAGCCCGATAAATACAAATAATTTATACTGTTATACATATATCCATGTTTTAGATAGAAAATCACATGTATCCTGTTAGGTGGATATAATAATCAAAGTTTCATTATTTATTAGAATGGATTATAAATTGTATTATGCATGTCTGATTGACAATCTTGAGTATGTCTCATTGTTTCAAAAAGCGAACGGCCCAGCACCTGGGCGCTCCCTAGGTGGTTATGGGGGCCTGAGCACATCGCTTATGCCTAGGCGGGAAAAAAAAGCGGAAACCTTGGGCGCCCGCCTAGGTGCCCAGGAATCTAGCGGCCGCCCAGCGCTCAAACCTGGGTAGTCGCCCAAGGCCTACCTCCCTCCCAGAGGTGGAAATGAGTTTTGGTAGGGGCATTTTTGGTCTTTTTTTTGATACTAAAGGGTCAAATTTCTTGTTTTAAGGTTTATTTGTAACCTAAAACACATTAGAGACCATTTTAGAGAGAAAAACCCAAAAACTCAATTTTTGGTGATTTCTTTATGATTGAAGGATTTCTCAAAGTTATGACCAATTGATCAAAACATCATCCATTGATAATAGATTTAATTTGTGATGTTTTATAAATCTATTAGAGGGTTTTTTAGAAGATTTTAAGTCTTTAGAAGCATCTTTGAGGTGGAAGTTTGGAGATTGAGAAATCAAAATAAGGTTTTTTTTTTTATTGCTTGTATAAGTTTTATTGTTTTGAGATATCTTATTCGGGATCTATTAGGAGTGGTGATCCCGATTGGAAATATGGCTGCAACCCAAATCCTAATGATAAAAATTGCATAAGATGCGAGTTTTGTGAGAAGGATACAAAAGGGGACATAAACTGGTTCAAGAAACATCTTGCTGGTATTAGGGGGATGTTGTCCCATGTAAAAGGACTCCTAATGCTGTTAAAGTGGAAATAATCAAGTTTTTGATAATGGTAAAAATGACAAAAGGTGAGAAATTTGCCTCCATAAGTCAGTTATGATGATGATGATAGTGATGAGGATGGGGAGGGATGTCAAGAGGTAGAACAATCTGTTATTAGGGGAAAGGGAAAGGGGGTTGTAATTGCTTCGGGTTCTGGTTTTGGGAGTAAGAAGCCTCGGTAGAGGCCTTATGGATAGTTTTCTGCCCCGGCCTGACCTTGAGTTTGCATGAGAGAAAACAAAGAAGCAAACCATCATTGAAAATAGAATGAAAAAGGAAGAGAGAGATAGAGCTGCTTTTTATATTGCTACATGGTTTTATGAGGCGAGCATTCTTTTCAATACCGCTAGCCTAAGCAGCTTTTGTGCGTTGGTAGGGGCAATTGGCCAATTTGGGCTTTTGGGATGAAACCCCCAACCCCATATGAGCTTTCAGAGCCTCTTTTGAAAAAAGCGGTGAGTTTCACGAAGGATGTTGTAGAAGTTAAGAAGGATGCATGGGCTCAGTATGGAGTTTCTATTGTGATTGATGTTGGAGTGATAGGAAGAGAATAAGTCAAATGAATATGCTTGTGAATTGTCTTTTAGGGACTGTCTTTTTGAGGTCTATTGATGCATTTGATTATACCCATAATGCCCATTACATATTCCAAGTGATAGAGAAGGGAATCAAGGAGTTGGGGAGCATCTTGTTGTACAGGTTGCCCTAGACAATACTGCTTCTAATGTTGCTGCTGTTAAGTTGTTATGCATTAGCTTATCTTAGAATCTTTTGGACACCTTGTGCAGCACATTATAGAGACCTCATGCTTGAGGCTTTTAGCGATTTAACCGAGATATCAGGTGCGGTGAAGATGGCCAAGTCAGTTACAAATTTCATTTATAGCCACCATCTCACCCTCAGCATGATGTGTTGATTTACAAAGAAGAAAGAGATTGTGAGTCCTGGGGCCATGAGATTTACGACCTGGTACTTATGCCTAGATAACATACATTCGAGGAGAGTGCAGTTGAGGCAGATGTTTACCTCAGATGACTAGGGAGCATGCAAGTGGTCCAAAGATCAGTTGGGAAGAAGGTGAGAGATATTATTCTTTTAAGGCTTTTTGGCAAGGGGTGAAGGGCATTCTTAAGGTATTTTTTTTCTCTTGTCAAAGCCCTTCGCATGGTTGATAGCGACAAGGCTTCTATGGGCTACATATATGAGGTTATATAGAAATGCAAAAGAGAGATAGCCCAAAAATTTTGATGATGATGAGAACTGCTACAAGCCTATTTGGGAGATTATTGATGAGAGGTGGGATAGGTAGCTACATCGGCCTTTGCATGCAGCTGGTTATTATTTGAATCCAGCTTTTTTTTATGTTGACAAGGATATGCACACAAATGACACAATTGTGATTGGATTTAATAAGTGTGTAGATGTGCTAGTCTCTGATCTTGATATCTAGGATATTACATATGCTAATGAGCTGATAAGTTACAAGCGCTCATTAAAGTCTTTTGGGAGTCCAATGGTAATGAGGCAAAGGACTAAAATTGATCCAGGTAGTAATAATATTCTTAAGTTCATCAAGTTCAACTGTTCAAGTAATGAAGTTTCATTTTTATTATTTTATTATTTATTTATGATTTTATTTTATATCTTTGCAGCCAATTGGTGGAGCCAACATGGGTGTAGTTCTCCAAATTTGCAAAAGTTGGCTCTTCGGATCTTAAACCTAACCACTTCCTCATCCGGTTGTGAGCGCAATTGGAGTACTTTTGAAGGGGTAAGGCCGTAAGGGTAATTTGTATAATTGTATTAATAATACATGAACCATAGATTTTAATTAGTTTCATTTGATTTTGTTAGATTCATACAAAAAATAGAACATGTTTGAATAAAAAAGGCTCAATGACCTAGTCTATGTCAAGTATAATCGGTTCTTAAAGGATAGGTTTGCTAAGAGAGACCCCGTCAGATAAAAAAATATGGACAATGCTATGGAGTGGTTAGTTGATGATGATGATGTCGAGGGGCATGAAGGATTGACATGAGACATGGTCATGGATGCTTCGGGGACATCAGCCGACCCTCCTATGGCCATTAGATCTTTTGCACAGAGGACGAGGGTGAAGGAAGAAGAGGCAGATTCAGAAGAGATGGAGGAGGACGACCAATATGTCGAGGAGAGCAACGACTCTGATGAATATGATGCAAATTCTTCTGACCCTATTTTTTCTGATGATGAAAGATGAATAATGATTAAACTTTGAACATTGATTGAATATTCTTTTGAGTATTCAAGTATTACTTTCATTTTTTTTTCTTCCTTTTGGTTGTGTATTGTGGATAGTGGATTTGTAATTCCACTGGTTTGGTATTTGGTTACTTTGGTTTGGTAATTTGGTTGGTAAATTTTAAGTTTTAATTGGATATGGACCGACTTATGGTTATGCTTATGGAGTGTGTGCTAATGTGTAGTATACTTTGAATTCTGATGTGCGTTAAATATTTAATTTTTATATTTTATACAATATATATACTGTTAGAGACTGTAGAATCCTTTTTGGATTCAATTGGACTGCCTAGGTTCTGGGTGCCCATCGAGGCGTTGGGCGGGTTGGACCCCTCAGGCCGCTTAAGACCCGCCTAGCGCTTTTTGAAACACTGGTATATCACAACATCAATTTTTTATTTGGGGAATATACTACTATCCATATGACCTCCTTGAAATTTGTCATCCAAACAGTCGTCACTTCTTGGTTCCATGGCATTTGTCTGAAAGTTTGTTGGGGATGGTATCCTTAAACTTGAGGACACCAAATTGACATTCTTAGGTAAATGGTTGTGGTTGTTCAGGGACTATCGACACCTCATTGGAAGCGAATAAATGACACATGGATTTTATTTCGAACATAGATTTTTTTTTGAGCCATAATCTATTTATCAAACAAAAATACCCAATGACTTCAAATATATACCGGAAGGACTATATACAATATTCTTTTTACTTTTTCACCCGAATTCTTTGTTGCGTAATATCAAACCACCATATATTTCACTGATCTATATTCCAATTTCTTATAAATTTTTGTAGGGTTTGTAATTAATCTCCCATCTAACCAAAAAATACAACTAACCCTAATTTGCAAGGGTCCCTTGCACATTGATTACCACATATCATCTAAACTGGTCTTTTTTATTATCCATGATCATTTCAAAATCTCATTTAAAGAATAAAAGAAGCCATCTTGCTGAAATAATCAACAGAAATCACATCTTAATTCTTAAATTAACCATCACTTGCTCCTAGTCCATTAGTTTCTATTAGAGCAACAAAAAATCAGTGATATGATCCCAAAACCAGTAAGCCCCCTTAATAGGTTTAATAAGGGGCCTTACTTTTTGGTTTTGGGGTTTAGACCCCCCAAAGTTTTGCCCATTGCCAGGGGCTTTTTCTGCCCTCGGCCATGTTATTCCACAGTGCCTTCCTTGAGGCGTCCGCTTAGGTGGGCT